TGGCAAAGATCGGGAGACGCCACTACTCGTCTATATGGGACTGAAGGTCCATGCATTAACGAGAGAACGACAGTTGGTTGATTGTCTTTATGCTCTTGGTGTGTCATCCTCATATGATCGAATCATGGATATAGTCACATCAATGGGAAATAATGTCTGAGTATTATGACCAGATTGGCACAGTCTGTCCTCCCCAGATCCAGAAGGGTCAGTTCATCACTGCAGCCGCTGACAATATAGACCACAATCCAAGCTCAGCTACCTCCACTGGTTCATTTCACGGTACAAGCTTGTCCTTGTTCCAAAACATTACTACCGAGAGTAAAAGTGGCGATAACTACCGTGGTTTTACCCATTCAATAAAACCTTTGAAGGCACAGAGGAAGGTAATGGACTTACCCATGGCCTATTGCGACATAAGACAGACAGGTCTGCCATCAGGTGATGTCTATGTTCCACTAACTTCTAGTAACCTGACATCTTCCTGCGATAAACTGAGTGAAGAGACGGAAAAAGAATACAACTGGCTGAATCATGTTATGAATGAGAAGATGCATGCAGTTGAAATATCCTGCGAGTCTAACATATCTTGGGCCCCATACTATGCCAGTCGAATGGCAGAATCAAACCTTTTACCATCGACCAATGCCATGCTGCCTATGTTTGCTGAGGAGGCCAGCTCCCCTTCAATGCTGCGTCACTGCTTTTATATTTTATTCAGGCAGCTGTACACTTTGTCAAACCTGGTCAGATTCCAGTAATTTGTGTTGATCAGCCTCTGTTCGCAAAACTGAAACAACTACAATGGTCTATGGACAACCAGTATGGAGAGGACAAGTTTGTAATCCTTCTTGGTGGACTCCACACGGAGATATGTTGCTACAAAGTACTGGGTCATTGGCTGGAAGGGAGTGGATGGGTTGAAGCTCTTCAAGAGGCACAACTTGGCACTCGTGGAATTGCAGAATCTTTCCTCAAGGCATCCCATGTCACTCGGACCCGGCATGCACACTGTATATTCTCCTGAAGAATGCATATGATATGTATGCCACCAACATAGAAGGCCTTGCAGAGAGTTTCAACATGTGGTGCACACGTCGGAAGACTGACAGTCCACAATTCCTGTACTGGTAACACAAACCTTGAGTTGGAACTGCTTGCCTTGGCATTTGTGCGTTCATTGCGTACTGGTGACTAAATTGACAACTTGGTTCTTCAGTCTCAACCACACCCATTACGCCCGCTGGATGTCAGTTCACGTGAGAGATATGTGTAGCCTGGACGACACCCATCCTGATGTTGCTCGAGAATTTCAGCACGGCAAGTTCGTCATGGCCAAGTCCTTGAAAAAATTCTCCCTCATCGCAATTGATCATGGCCATGAGCAAAATAATGGTGTGATGAAGGGTGAAGGGGGAGTCATTGGACTGACACAGGATGCCGATGCTCTTTTACGATGGGCAGTAGCAGGGCCAAAACTTGTCCGTGTCATATCTGAATTGGAGTCATCCATGGTAGGGAAACAAGAGAGTCCCAGCCAGAGAAACCACCATGAGCAAACTGATGCTACCCAGAAGAAATTTGCTACACAGGTCGATACACTGGTCAGAATAATTGAGAGTATGGGGAGCCCGTTTGAAGAAGAAAGCCAAGATCTTCTGAGACTGCATTCAAAGGACATCATGGACAAGCAGTCAATTGAG